AATAAATCGTGTATACCCATCGCTACATGCTGCCCTGACAGTTAACAAACCATGAACTATGACTTCACACAGTGCGCTCGAGGAAAGAGCCAGGAAAGAAAGAGGACATTCTGTCTGATGCCACCAACTCGAATTTCAAAACAAAGAAGTGTAACCTGTGGCTTTAGAAGTCAGAGGGTGGTTACCTGGGGGCAGTAAGTGACTGGAGAAGGCGGAGGGGGATTCTGGCCTCTGGTCGCACTGCACTGATCTGCGTTTGGTGAGAGCTGTCTGGCCACTCACTCTGGAGGTGTACTGCTCACTGTGGCGAGTGCTGGTTAAGTTATCTGGTTGTGGTTGGTGGTCTGGGTGCCTGTACACTCTGCTGCCAGGCTCTCAGGCTCCTGGGCCACCTGCTGGTCTGTAGCTGTGTCTCACTTCTTATCCACACAGCCGTTATGCACTGACCTGAATCACCCTAAATTCCTAAGCTCGAGCGCTAACTAACCCCCAGTGTGACTATTTGGAGACAGCCTTTAGGGAGGTGAGCCTAAAGGTGGGGCCCTGATCCGCCGCAGGTGGTGCCCACATAGGGATGGGGGGACACCAGAGCTCGCTCGCTCTCTGTGGCCACGGAGGCCGTGGGAGGACGTGGAGAGCAGGTGGACACCCGCAAGCCGGAAAGAATCAGCCCAACCCTGATGGCACCTGCTCCCTCGTCTCCAGGCTCCAGGACTGAGAGAAAATGGGTTTCTGCTGTTTAAGCTGCCAGATCTAGTGCGTTATGGCCGCCTGAGCAGCCCAGGGGCACTGGAGGAGCTGTTTCCTGGCTCTCCTCCTGCCCCCACTGGGGCTGGCTGAGGGCAGCCTCCTCTGCAAGGGCAGGGGGTAGTGGGCACAAGCTGGGCCTTGGAGACCAAAGATGCGGGGCTCAAATCTCAGTGCCTCACTTGCTGGCCTTGCCCCTCAGCCCCCCGAGCCTCAGCATTCCCTGCTCTCACATGGGCCCAGGGCACCTACAGGTCTGTGTGGATCCCGGGGAGGATTCGCCCGAGGAGTGCAGAATATGAGGGACCCTCGGTGAGGTTGGTGGGCCGTCCCCACCGCTGACTCCCCTGCCGCCCAGGTCTGAGCCGTCCTGAGACCACGTGCAGGGGCCTCGTCCGTATCACGAGGTCCGCCCCCAGCGAGGAGGGCGACTACGCAGCGTGCCCATCCCAGGGAGGAGCAGACTTCCTGGGGGAGCTCCAAGGGCAGGGCAGGCCCACGCTTGTCTCTCTGTGCCTCTGAGAGAGGGCATTTCTGGCACTGGGGCTTTTTAATCAAGTTGAGCAATTAGGGCGTGAGGAAGATCCCATTTCCCCAGGGCGAGAGTGGGGCTCTCCAGCCTGGTAGGCGGTCCAGCTGCCTGTGCTGGGGGCAGGGTCTGCAGACCATCCGCCTGGGGTCCCACCTGTCTCCAGGCTCTGTTAGCCCCTCCCCGGCACCCCGCCTCTCCTACCCACAGACCCTGGGCTGGTCAGGGCTCCAGCCTGTCCCCGACTTAGTTGCCTGGCCTGCGCCCCTGGAGGCTTCTGGTGCTTGTCTTCCTGGCAGGTTGCTGGGTAGGGTCTGGATTTTTGGGTTTAATAACCACAGTTCTGGGTGTGAGGGAGCTGCTGCAGAGACCACCTTCCAGATCCTTCCCAAGTCCCAGACCAAAGCCCAGACCACGGTGGGCTACAGGCCCCAAACCTTTCAACAGCAAATAAAGAAATCGATTAGAGTTGCAGCTCTTGGGGAGGCTGACACAGATAATACTTGTGCACTGGGTGGAAGGGATTTCTCTAAATTTAATTATAATGTAAGTGTAAAATATGCGTCTTCTGCGGGAGTTTTGTGCCTGGCACAGAATCGCTCCAGCAGTCTCTCCCCAACCACCCCTTACGACACCTCTGTGTGCTGTAAGCGATTAATTTATAGGCTGCTAATAGGCTAAAATAATATTTAAAGTCATTTTGCCCAATGTAGCTTTTAAAGAGGGATTGCGATAATAATTATTTAAAGACCCGTTTTATCACTTTGGAGTCGTTACCGAATGGCTCCTGCCCAGCCCTCTGGGCTCTGGTGGGCCGTGCCTCTGCACACCCCTGAACCCGGCCACCCATTACCAGCAGCGCTGGGCACTCAGCACTCTGATTTGCAGCGATGACACTTGACATGTCATGGCCTTGGGTTGGGAGTGTGACACGTGAAGAGGCTGGAAGCCGGCCCTGCTGCCGCCGTTAACCGAGTAGGGGCGGTATTTTGAGGCCCGAGTTGCTGTCCGCCCTTCTTGGGGGAAGGGTGGGCACAAGGGTGAGTCCGCTACCCCGGGAGGTTACTCTTTATTTTTATGGCTCAGCCATGGAGGAAAGAGAATGGTCACCACCATCTCAGAAAATCCATGCACACTTGCATCAAACCACCCCCTTCGGGGGCAGGCTGGCAACTGCCATGGGCCTCGTTTTCTTCCCTAGGGTATGATTCTGAAGCACAGAGATGGCACAAGGAGAGGCTCGGAAGTCAGCAGGAAGGGACAGGGGTGGGAGGGTGGCTCTGGAGGAGGCATGTGACGAGGCTGTTGCTGGGACAGGGGAGCTGCGTGTGTGCACGGTAGGGCGGTCAGTGTGTGCATCGCAGGATTCCCTGCTGCCTGCCCTACATTCCTTGAGGGCTGTGGGTTTTATTCTCTTAACATCGTTATAGAACACTTGGCTTTGTTGTGTGTAATGTTTTGGCCCTTGTTTGATATTCCTGGTACCAGTGCTCAATAGATGCTTCAGCAGGTGCATGAATGCTCAAGGGAATTAATGAACAAATCTGGGCATCATGTTATTTAAGAGAACAATTGCCCTTTGGGGGTGACCGGAAACCTGAGTTCATGGCTCTTTGGACTCTGCAGCAGAGCTGAAAGAGAGGGAGGGAGGTAAAGAGAGAGGTCCTCCTGCCTCCCCAGGAGACCAGCCTGGGGGAAGTGCAGGTGCACGGGCCCCAGTGCCTTTGCCAGTATACGAGAAGGCTCCACGTGAGGCTGTGACGTCCCTTTCCTGGGCCTCAGGTTCCCCAGTGGCACAGGGGGTGGGTGAGCTCATCTCTAACTCTTCTCTGGTCAGACCGCCCTCCAGCTCTCACATTCTGGGGTCCTGTGACCGGGCACGTGGCAGGTCCTCAAAAACACTTGTCACCCACCCATTCAATGACCCTGCGTGTGCTGCAGCCGTGCTCAGGGCATGTCCCTGCAGGGAACATGGAGCAAGACCCAGGCTTCCACCCCTGCCCGACTGTGCACACAGCAGGGCCAGGGTGGGTGGAGCCCAGAGCAGGGCCTCACCCGAACCTGGAGATTGCTGGAGAAATGGGGAGGGGGAGAAGGGGATCTGAGTGGGCAGCAGGTGGGCCTCCGGTGGGGGCGAGCTCAGCGGAGGGCCCAGAAAGTGAGGCTCATCTTTCAGGGCCCCGTTGGTCTCCACAAATATTCTGGACTATTCTGAGCATGGGGGATGGAGAGAAAGATCAGGCCAGGACCCGCCCAGACCCCGACGTCAGTGCCTGTGGAGCATGGGTGGGGCGACCACCCTTCGCAAAGGCCCACCCGCTGCTGCCACCTACCCACCGCTCCTCACTCCCTGGCGGGCACATTGCAGCCAGGCTGGTGAGGGGCCAGCGCCCGCAGTTGGTGGGAAGCCATATCCATGTGTCTTCAGCAAAGAGCCTCTTAAAGGGGCCCAGACTGGAAATCAATTCTTTAAAGCTGAAATCAATAACAATGACCAATATTAATACTGATTGCGCTTTCTTTATTGTACTTTGCAGCTGGGGGTATTGTTTTTAAGGAATAGCAGAGGCGGCTCTGCAATGTGGCTCGAGGCAGGCTGCCTCCGGGACACGAGGCTGCATCTGGCTGGGCTCCGGCCTGCCGCTCCTCTGTCCTTGAACTGACCCAGGGTCAGTGTCCCTGCCACGGCTCCCAGGGGCGGGCTCACAGCCACACAGCTTTGGTTGGGGAGCCTGTGACCCCAGGGGACAGGTGCTGTATAGGGGAGGCGTCCCCAGGGCCTGGGTTTGCCCATGGGGTGAAGGGCAAGCCCCCCCCGCAGGGAACCCCAAGTGTGGAGGGGAAGGAGGGAGGCACGTGGCCCCAGGAAATGGCCAGCACAGGCCTGCTCTCTGCAGGTTCTCTCTGGGGTCAGCCCAGGGCGTTGGTCAGAGGCCACAGAGTGGGAGCCCAGGGTTGGGAACATAAGTGTGCCCTCGTCATTTCAGTGAATCCTCCCTGCCCTCTAAGAGGAACAATCACTAACTCCCATTTTCCAGGGGCACAGGTGGGTGCTGGGAGAGGATCCCCAAGGCCGCATGTTCATGGGGCAAAGCAGGACCCAGGCCTGGGCCTCTGTCTGCCAAGCCCCTCCCATGCCCACACTGAAAGCAGGCCACTGGTCTGTCATCATCGGGTCTCTGGAAATGGAGCAATGGGAACCCCTGTCTCAGGGTGGCCATGGGGGTCCATGGGCCAGACACCTGTGTCCTCAGATGCCTGCGTCCCCAGGGTGGCTGTTGCTATTAATGTGTTGCTGTTACGACAGAGGGCCATGGCCTCCTGTCCCTTTCTTGGTCCAAAACAGAATTTGAGGACAGCCTGGTCCCTGCCTCCCCATCCCTTCCTTCCACCTGCCCTGGGCTCAGGCCACGTGGGAGGAGCCGCTGACCAGGGCCCTCTGTGCTTCTGCTGGCCCTGTGTGGAGGCATACACAATTGTTTACACACCAGCATGTGTGCACACAAACTCACAAGTGCACATGCGTGCCTTTGGAGATGCAGTGTGTCCAGGAAGGAGGGCTGAGGGGACCCTCTGTGGATTGTGTGTATTTGTGTCAGTGTTTTGAGGACACAGTTGGAAATTATTTATTATGCAATGTTAGGTGGCTGGGTATATTGCACAATTAGACATTTTCTGTATTTCACAACTTTCTGTATTTTAACATTTTCTGTATGTTGCCCAATTAGACATATTCTGTACAGACATTCAGTGTGTATTTTTCTGGAAAAAAATACGTACTGACACATAGAACTTAAACAGAAATTGAAGAAAAAGCTCAGAAGTAAGCCAGAGGGAAGGGGAAAGAGAATCACCTCAGGAGCCAGGGGGAGTGTCACTGTTAGTTAATTTGAGCCTGAGCTCCCTAGCAGCCACAGCAAGGAGAGAAAGCATGGTGGGTTTGCAGTTCTGGCCAGTGAGAGGAAGCACTTGCTAGAGGACTGATTTTCCTGGACCTGGCATCCAGCATCATCAGCTGGTCAGGCGTGTCCTGTAAAAGACGAAGGGGGTGGTCCCTGCCTTCAAGGGGCTTTTCCTTCTCTGGGTCCCCAACAGAAGCATTTCTGAGCAGTGCACAGTTAGCCAGGCCGGTGCCTTGACTTTCTGGCTATGGTCTCACGTGGGCTCTGACCAGAAAGTACCCTCTGGTGACAGGACAGTGAGCTGGCCTTGCTCAGCACTACATCTTGGCGGGCTGAGCTCAGGGCCACACCGGTCAGGTGCAGGGTTAACAATTGTTGGGTGAAGGAATGGCTGCTACCTCTGTTCCTTGGAGGGAGGAGGGATCACAGGGGTGAGCAGGGAGCTGAGCTTGGGCCTCCAGGCAGGCTTGTGGCTGGCCACACTGGCCAAGGTGAGAAGACAGGGCTCCTGCTGGTCTGTGGCCCTGGGAGGTGGGGTGGCATGAGCAGTGGCTGTGCCCATGCCGAGCTGACATGTTGGTTGGTCAGCTGCCACTCCTCTCAGGAGCACTGGAGCTGTGCCTCCCTGCCACCCTGCCACCATGGCTCAAGCTCGTCCCAGGTCCCACAGCCACCTGCGGTGAGCGGGCGAGCAGAATGGGGGTGGGTGGGCCAGCTCTCCTGGTTTGGTGGGATGGAGAGGGTCTTGCCCACTGGGCACTGGAGTTTATCCCAGAGCCATTTGTGGGCCTTTGTGCCCTACACACACACAACACATGCCATGGTAGCCAGAGGGACCATTCTGGGCCTTGGTCCCCTTGGAAGTTTCTGGAGAATCTAGTGTAGAGCCTGGCAGAGATGAAGTTCACAGCAAAAGCACTCCAGTGCTGAACTACTTTCCCTCCGGAATAGTTTGGACGACAGTCCAGCCCTGAGCTGCAGGTAAGGTAGGGCTGGGCCAGGGTGAAGCTCCCCCCTCCCTAGGTCCCTGGCGTTGGGGGTCTCTGCACACCAAGCAGGCAGGAGGCCTGGGTTCTGGCCCTGCTTCCAGTGGGCAGTGGGGTGCCTGTGTCTAGTCTCTGGGCCCTAGGGGTCCCCTCTGTGGGGTGGGTGTCAGGGACCCAGTCACCAGGCGGAGAGCCCTGGGGACCCCACCAAGGGTGAAGCTCCGTCCTGCCCTGCCTTGGCCCTGGCCACAGCCGGCTCATGCTCACAGGCTCCAGCTCCCTGGCATGGCCTGTGTCCCCGGCTGTCCCCACTGTCCTTGCTGCCTTTGGCGAGCAGCCTGCAGAGCTGTTTACCACTGTCCAGCCTCCTTGGCAGGCAAACAGGCTGAGGTTAGGCTGCCAGGTGAGGAGGGAAGGCCTGGCCCATAGACCAAAGGTGACCACCTCCTCTTAGCTTATTTACTGTCCCTGAACTTTGACCTGCCCCCCCAGGGGACACAGAGACCCAAACCATGGGTGATTTGGAAGGCCCTGGTCTTGGTTCCAGGAATCCCCCAGCCTCGGCTGGGCTGTTGAGAGATGCACAGTGAAAACGCAAAAAATAAACGATGCTGCCGACAGCGGCTTTGAGGTCTACCTGCCCAGGGCGTGTGGGCAGAGAATGAGCACCCTCGCTTTACAGGTGAAAGACGAACTGGGGCTCAGTCTGCCGCCTGTGCCAGGCACACTGCCCATGGCATACGGGATCGCAATTCTCATTCGGGCCCTTCTGATTCTGGATTCCTGACTCTTTAGGAAAGCACTGTGTTGTCTCTGAGTCTAGAAGGAACCAAGGACCACAGCTGGCAGTGCCCTGCAGGTGGGGTGAGGCTGCGAGGACTGCCCTCGGCCTGTCCCCACCAGACAAGCTGTAGGTGATGGTGGGGCCTATCTGTGCCCTCAGTAAAGTACCCACTGTGTGCTGTGCCTGTCAAGGGCACAGATGAGGAGAGGAAGACAGGACGCCTTGCTCTCTGAGCTTCTGTCCAATAAGGGAAATAAAACTTAAAGACCCAAAGAGCTGAGGCCTCACTTGCCAGCAGCTCACTCACTAGGGACCTTCTCTGAAGCTCCTTTCTTCCTGGCACTTCCCGCACATTCCAATTAGTCCCACTGTCATGACCCCGACCCAGGGAGACAGAAACTGCACCATGCAAGGGACACTCCACCACGGGGGCTGCAGCTGGTGCACTGGGGGCCGGGAGGGGGCCTTCATGGGCTCCAGACCTCTCCCCAAGCAGACGCAAGTCAGCGGGGTTGTTGACAGCAGACAAGCACCTAGAAGGGGCTCCCAGAGGCCAGAGCATGACCAGGGGGAGGATCTGCCCAGTGCTGCTTCCACAACGTGAGGATAAGGAAGCCGCAAACCGCCCTCTGTGCTGGGGGGCAGCTGACTGAGGGCCCCGGCTCCATGTGCAGCCCTCCCACCCTGGGGACAGGGGCGGAGCACAGCCCTGGACCTCTGCCACAGAGGGACTGACTCAAGGCGCTCACACAGACCACTGCCGGGCTCTGCCCCAGCCGACCCGAGGGGAGCCAGGGGCCAGGCACGTGCCCCACTCCTGAAGCCCACCCACAGCTGACCCTGCTGGGAGGCACGCAGGTGCTCGACCAGGGAGAGTCTTTTGGATACCAGGCTGGAGATAGAACCCAAGCAGGGGGACATGGCAGAGAAATGTTAGCAAGTCAGTGAAAAGACTGGGCAGATCACAGCAGCCCTGCAGTGCCAGAGCTGCGTGGGGCACACGAGATTTCCTCCTGCACAGCTGAGCCTCACACAGTCTAAAGGCACTCCTGTCTCCTTCCACATGGAGGCGCAGATCCCGGCCCCCTTCCCTGGGGCTGCTCCCCACTGCACAGAGCTGCTCCCTGGGGAGATGCTCTCCTGGGCCTCAGCACATCCCTATAGGTGAGGCATAGGCCACTTCTTCTACCACCTGCAAAGGGTCACCCTGATTCTGCTTGGATACCTTGCATAATGGGGAACTCACCACTAGGAAAGGCAGAACACTCTCCCTTGGCTTGAGTTACAATCTGCCTCCTTGAAACTTCTCTCCACTGGCCGTTCCTTCGTGGGTCCATTCAGCATGTACCACTGTGTGCCGGCTCCCTGCTGGGCGCGGAGGGCAGAGGCGGCCTTGCACCATGGAACCCAGAGCTGGGGGGAGAGCAAGTGGCAGGGCCACCGTGGGTGGGGAGGCATGAGCGCTGCAGGGGTGTGGAGTGGGGCCAGGGTGGGGCCGGGAGCATCTCCTGGACAGAGTGTCAGGTGAGCTGAGCCCTGAATGGTGAGCAGGGGCTACTCCCTGGGTGTGGGGGCAAGGGTTTCAGCTCAGGAAGGAAGGACTGTGTGGCAACGTGCAGGGGGGGTAGTTTGGACCAGTACTTGCTCAGCAGGCTGGATGCCCCCTGGAGCGCAGGAGGCAGAGGCTGTGTGTGGGCTGCCTTTTCCCTGACCCCCGGCTAACGCAGAGGTGGGTGGTGGATTAGAGGGCGGAAGGCCCAGGCAGGTCCCAAAGTGCAGGAGGAATCCAGGCCCCTCAGTCTCTGCCTTTGCGGACTCATCTCCTGACAACTGCCTCTCCCCTGCCCCACCATGAACCCAGCTCATGTTCCAGCCACCTGCTTCCATCATTTCCCCAAGCCCTCTGTCTTCCTCAGGCCTCCCACACGTTGTGCCCTCTGCCTGAAACGCTTCTCTTCTGGCTGAATTGGGTCCTGGTTTAGGTCCTCCTCCGAGCAGTCCTCCGTGATTTCTCAAGCTGTTTAGGTGTTTATCTGTGAACACCAGCAGTACCTGGGTTGTTTATTCTTCTGACACTCCCCAACACACACACATGCACACTCACACACATGCATGTACACACACGGCAGGGGCAATGTTTACCACCTTTGGATCCCAGCACCACGTACTGTGCTCCCCGTGATGTAGGCCTGGAGGGCTTTTCTGTGGCTGAAGGTGGAATGGTGGAGCTGCAGGCTGGGGAAACGTCTTGGGACTCTGAACTTGTGCTGAGTTGACAAAGGCTGTTCTTCCCTCTTAACTGGGCACTGAGTCTGGGAGGAAACAGGGCGGCCCATTCGTGTCTCTCCCAGCGTGCCCCCACGGGATGCCCAGGGCATGCCTCCTGCTCAAGGTCACAGGGTACTCTCAGAGGCCCTGGGGAGAAGCAGGGTGGGGTCTGACCTGTGTTGCCCCCTCCTGGCCCACAAGCGCACACAGCTGCCGAGCACAGAGGAGAGGACCCCTCGCGGGTATCCTCGGTCTGTCCGAGGCAGCCTTGCTCAGTCAAGCTTGCTGGGCTGCTGTTGGGGTTCCCGCAGGAAGCGCCCCCACCCCACAGCAGCCCAGTGGATCAGGACTCTGAATTTGAGGGCTGGGGTCTGCACTCTGCACCCTGGCTTCCACACGCCTTCTTTTCTCACTGCTCGCCATCCTCTTTCTGGGGGTCTTTCAGAAGCTCTGGGACAGGTGACATTGAGGGTCTCGGAGACAGAGATGGGCGTCACTTTAGAAATGACCGGGGCCCCAGGCAGGAGCCAGAAGAGGGAGGAAGGGCTTACTTTTACTCTACACTTGGTCCCCCGAACAGCTCAGTAAAGGGGACTAAACTGGGGGTGCCTTCTGGGGGAGCTTCCTTTCCAGGGCTCCACAAGGCCAAGCCCAGAAGCCTGGTGGGAGGGCTGTGAGGGGGAAGGAGATGGAATGGGGGTCTTTAGGCAGGTTGGTGAGTGGGGGGAGATGGAATGGGGGGTCCGTGGGCAGGTGGGTGGGTGGGGGAGATGGAATGGGGGTCTGTAGGCAGGTTGGTGAGGTGGGGGGGATAGAATGGGGGTCCCTGGGCAGGTTGGTGACTGGGGG